CCCCCGTCCCCTCCCCTGCCCTCCCCTTCCCTCCTCTCCTCTCCTTTCCTATATCAGTGTATTAGTTCTAAAAATCTTTCTGAGCTTTAACTTGTCCACTCAGTCTGTCAATACTTTGATTTTATAACGGTGCAATGACCAGGCTACCACTATATGTGTGTTCACTTTATATAGCTGCTCTTATGAACACATGAATGTCCACATGCTTATGGATAAAAGACAGGTTCTCTAAAGTTTTGATGGTGTAATATACTTCTAAGTGCTAAGTTTTGAGGGGAAAAAAAATTCTCAGGCAAAGAGACGTGGTTCCTATCTCCATAAAATCTTAGGAAAAGATGTTTCATAACCATAGCAACCACCACCATTCTGGCTTTAAACTTGTGAACCAAATGATGATGGTTCTGTAACCATAGCAACCACCACCATTCTGGCTTTAAACTTGTGAACCAAATGATGATGGTTACGTGTAGTTAGTAACACGTAAAAATTGTCTAACAGATCAGTGACAATTCACTTCAGTGAACATGCCTTTGAAAGCCACCCAATCAGTGACAGCCTCAGGCTTTAAGTGTCAGCCATTCAGGAACAGAATCACTTGCTTCTAATACTGGTATTAACCTATTCTCACCTCTCTAATCAACAATAAAACATGCTTCTCTGACTGACATTGATCTACCCCTGTGCCTTGTAACCAACACACTAAAAACAATGTCTTCCCAAAAATTCTATAAGAGATCAGAAGTTTCCATTATTCAAGGAGACTGTGCTTCTGAATAAAAAAACTTAAGAAAAAACCAAATAAATGGAAGTACATACCATGCTCAAGGATAACAAAAATTAACATAAAGTGTCCATACTGCCCAAAGTAATCTACAGGTTCAATGCAATTCCTACCAAAATACCAACTGAGTATTTTATAGAACTAAAACAAATAATCCCAATATTTATATGGAACTACAAAAACCCCAAATAACCACAGCAATCTTGAAGATAGGCAAAGTTTGAGGTGTCACACTACCTGATATCAAATTATACTACAAGGCTACAGTAAGCAAAACAGCATGGAACTGGAATAAAAAGACATATAGATCAATGAACCAGAATAGAGAGCCCAGAAATACGCCCACACCATTATGGTCAATTAATCTAAGACAGAGAAGGCAAGAACATTCAATGGGCTAAAGACAGTCTATTAAAAAATGGTGCTGGGAAAACTGGACAGATATATGCAAGAAAATGAAACTAGACCACCTTCTTATACCATATACGAAAGTAAATTCAAAATGGATTAAAGGCTTAAATGTAAGATTCGAAACCATAAAACTCCTAGAAGAAAACACAGGCAGTAAAATCTCAAGACATTTCTTTTAGCAGTGTTTTTTCTGATATAATCTCCTTAGGCAAGGGAAACAAAAGAAAAAATAAACAAAGAGGACTACATCAAACAAAACAGTTTTTGCACAGCAAAGGAAACCATCAACAAAACAAAAAGACAACCTATTGAATGGGAGAACATATTCGCCCATGATACATAAAGAACTCACACAACTCAACACCAAAAGAACCAATCCAATTAAAAAATGGGCAGAAGACCTGAACAGACACTTCTCCAAAGAGGACATGCAGATGGCCAACAGACATATGAAAAGATGCTCAACATCACTAATCAGAGAAATGCAAATTAAAATCAAAATGACATATCCCCTCACATCTGTCACAATGGCTCTCATCAATAAATTAACAAACAAGTGTTGGTGAGGCTATGTGGAGAAAAGGGAACCCTTGTGCACTGTTGGTGGGAATGAAAATTGGTGCAACCACTGTGAAATATAGTCTGGAGGGTCCTCAAAAAATTAAAAAATGGAACTGCCTATGACCCAGCAATTTCACTTCTGGGTATATAAACAAAGAAATCCAAAACATTAATTCAAAACAATATATGCAGCCCTTGTTCAGTGCAGCATTATTTACAATAGCCAACATATGGAAACAACCCAAGTGTCCATCAGTAGATGAGTGGATAAAAAAGTAGCGGTACATATATACAATAGAATATTACTCAGCCATAAAAAAGAATGAAATCTTACCTTCTGCTGACAGCACTAGTAGACCTAGACGGTACTATGCTAAGTGAAATTAATCAGTCAGAGAAAGACAAATACCATATGATTTCACTTACATGTGGAATCTAAAGAACCAAATAAACCAAGATACAATATTGATAGAGACTATTCATAGAGAACAGACTGATGGCTGTCAGAGGAGGGGATTTGGGGGACTGGGTGAAAAAGGTGAAGGAACTGATAAGTACAGATTGGTAGTTACAAAATAGTCACAGGGATGTCAAGTACAGCATAAGGAATATAGTTAATAAAGTTGATAATATTGTAATAACTAACTATGGTGCCTGATGGGCACTGTATTGGGAATATTGGGAGAAAAACTTTGTCATGTATATGTCTGTCTCCCCACTATACAGTACACCTGAAACTAATACAAAATAATGTTGAATGTAAACTAATTCAAAAATGAAGTTAAAAAAAAAAGAAATTATCCTTTACAGAAGCAAAAACAGTGGAATATCAACAATTTATTGTGGGTTATTATGGTTCAACCCAAAATAAATTATCAGTAATCTTTTAAGCATCACTAAAAAAAAAAAGTTTTGGGTTTTTTAATGCTAATCTAAAAAATAAACTTATTTCACATTTTACTATTAATGTATTATATGTGGTACAGCTTCACAGTTACAAAATAGTCATGGGGATGTAATGTATAGCATAGGGAATATATCAATAATACTGTAATAACTACGTATTGTGCCAGGTGGGTACTGGTGGGGAAACACTTTGTAAAGTAAATGACTGTCATACCATTATGATGTGTACCTGAAGCTAAAACAAAATAATACTGAATGTAAATCATAATTGAAAAAAAAGTAAAAAAATTATTTTTTTTTAAAAAAAAGACTGCTTGACAAGCACAGCTCTCCCTGACCAAGTCAACAAAACATTCAGTACTTTGTTTTTGTTGCAGACATTCAGTGGTGGCTCATCCTTTGACACTGAGAATCTTGTTTCCTTGGATCCAGTTCAGAGGATTTGCTTGAATGTTACCCTGGGTATAAAAAACTCTGAACTCTGCCATGTAAAAGCAAGTCAAGAAGTAGGCTGGAAGACACTGCTATCTGGCAATAGTTCGCTCTAATTTTTAAAATCTTGAATTATTTAGCTAGATTTAATTGAATTTTGATAGAAACAAATTTGAATAATGATTTACTGGCCTCTATGTGCCTGTTACCATGCTTGGCATTAGACAAAATTCCTTGTCCGTGCTAAGCTTACATACACTAACGGGGAGAAACAACACATTAAAAATGTAGTATGTCAAGCCCTAGCCGAGTAGCTAAGTTGGTCAGAGCGTAGTTCCAATATGCCAAGGCTCCAGGTTTAATCCTCAGTCAGGGCATGTAAAAGAATCAACCAATGAAGGCACAAATAAGTGGAACAACAAAATCGATGTTTTTTCCTTCTCTCTCTCTTCCCCTCTAGAAGAATCAATATATTTAAAAAATTAATTTAATCAATTTAATTTTAAAAGATGATGTATTATGTAAGGAGAACACACCAGGGTAAGGGAGGATGGGAATGGAAGATTGCTGTTTTAAACAGTGGTTAAGGAAGGCTTCACTGATAAAGTCATATTTGGGCGAAAGAGGTAAGAGAGTGAGTCAGGCAGATATCTGAGGGAAGACCATTAGGAAAAAAATGACAAGCAGAAAGGCCCAAAAGCAAGAGCATGTTTGGAGTGTTCTAGAAATATAAGGAGGCCACAATCACAGAGTGAGGGAGAGAGAAGTATGAGATTGAAGAAGAGAGATTTGAGAGGGAGGTGACACAAAGTTTATATATAAAGCCTTACAGGGTAAGGATGTTAACATTTATTCTGAGATGGGAAACCTTTAGAAGACTTTGAGCAAAGACATGACATGATCTAATTCACATTTTAAAAGATAACTGTGGCTTCTGAGGTGAGAATACACTGGGATAGGAATGACAAAGGCAAAGATGATGATGACAAAAAAACCCTGCTTTTTAAAAAATCAGTTCAAGGCCCATCAGCAACACCATCAAGAGTCACTGTCCATCATATTAGTCTCATTTTGCAAGCCAATCCACAGGCTAAAAATAAGTCTATGAAGTCATCATATATAAAAACTGCCCATACAACATAGGTATGGTCCAATTATATTCATAAACTCACATTTAAAATAAGAAATATGGAAAGAATCAGGCACCTAGCAGTGGGAATAGAAGCTGAAAGGTCATGAAACATCAAGAGGCTAGAGGGACTCTGATGAGCTACAGGTGAGAGAAAGTTATTAGTAAGATGTCACACAGTTGAGAAAAGATAGACAAAATAGGTTATGAGGAAAGCCAATAGGAGCAGAAAGAGTGAGAAGCCAAAAGAGAAGGAAAGATGGAAAGAGGAGCTGGGTTTACATTAAAATGGGGGAGCATTATAAAGATCCAAGAAATCTGGCTTACCAGCGTCTCCGGAGAGCTGCTATAGTAACAGTTACCACTCTACCCATCTCTCTTGTATGAACTAGCTTGAGTGAGTCGCTAATTCTTACAAGTTAAAAGACCTAACTATAAAAAGTATTCTATTATAGGGAAGTAATCAAACTCAAAGAAGTATCCTATTGCGGGGAGGCTTGACAAAAAGACACAGAGCTAATGTTTCTTTTGTCAAGAAGAATGCAATAGACATTGAATATACTTTATTGCTTGGTAAATTTTTACTGACAAATGCATTCACTAAAGTGTGGATCTTTCTCATGTTTTCTTCTTTTCCCCCTTGTAAGAAATTTGACATTAATATGCTGACATTAATATGTCACATCACATTTTTAACAGTACTTATAAAAATTCTAACAGAACAAATTTTACCCATCAATAAATATATTATCAGTCCTGATAATAAATGAATACCTGGAAGAACTTTTAATTCAGCTTCATCACTATACTTTGGTGGCCCACCACTTTCAATTAAGCAGCGATAAAGTCCCCCATCTCTTTCAGTCGCATTGCTGATAACCAGTGTTCCACTTGGAAGTTTGATGACTCTACCATCCAGAAGAAGAGGGTGCCTGTTCTGTTCCCATCTCACAAATGGGACCAAATCTGCATTAACTTCACAATTCAGAATTGCACTGTTCCCAGCATAAACTGAAGAAGGTTCTGGTTGGCTGGCAAATCTTGGAAGACCTGGACAATAAAGAAACAGAAGAAATAAAATGCAGTCATGGGGACCAGAAGCAAGTCAGCCCATGTGGCCACATGTATGGTGGAACCAGGTTCAAGGAGGAGGTTCACGAGTCAGGAAATTGGCTACATACAGGATTACAAATCAAACAAGTTACTGGACTCAGATTCCTCATAGTCAGAGAAGCATGGTACAAATATGGAAAAGCAGAAGGGCTGAATAAATCCCATGGTACTGGACTAGAATAGAGGCATCAGTGGAAACTTACGGTTTTATGTAATTCTAGATACAAATATAGAATGATGTATGTATGGAGGTAAATGTGTATGTATGAAATATATGTACATTTCATATATAGTCATCTGTCCAGAGAGTCCAGAATCAATGTCACTCCAGTGGCAATGAGTATATATTGTGATTCAATCTGGATTTCTAAATACCATTCTCCATTACAAGGAATCAATGCTCCTTGGAGGGAGAAATAGCTGATTCTAGGACTGGTAGAGGGAAAAGTACAAGATGAGCCTAGAATGTCTTGTGACTGGAAAAAGGGCAAGTACCCAAAGAACAATATGGATGAATCAGAAGGACACAAAAGTCAGACTGAAGGGAGTTTCTTCTGGCTAAATCTGGGACAATGAATCATAAATAGATGCTAAAATTAGTAGGTAAAAGTTGGATGAGGAATAGGATATTTATAGGGTATCAAATTATCTCTCCCCCAAATTAATAAAAGTACAAAATACTTATTAACTTTACAGGGAGAAACATAGCATAGACCACCTTAACTTATGATAAAGATTAACATTATCAGTAATGGAACAAAACAGAACATGCTTCCTGATATGATGCACTAAGAAGAACAGAGCATCACTACACTATTCCTCCCAAAAATGCAAAACCTGAATCTATTCGTAGGAGAGAATCAGAAAACCCAAAATAAGACAAGGAAAAAGAAGAATGGTTCGAGATTAAAGGAGTCTAAAGAGGTAAAACATGTCATCTGGGACTAGAAAGGAAAGGGGGGTGAGGGAGTTAAATTTCTACTTTTGTTTTTTTTTCCTATTAAGACCAATTGAGACAATCAGTGAAATCCGAATGGTATCTATGGATTAAATAACAGTATTGTATCAAGGTTAATTTCCTGAAATTGATAACTGGTTACTTAGGAGAATTCCTTTTTTTAGAAAATATACATGGAAGTATTTAGGTAGGGGTAACATCTGCAGTTTACTCTTAATCAGAAAAACATTCAGAAAAGTGAATTTAGGTATGTGCCACTGGGGGTGGTATGGTACAGCAGATGTGGTAAAACCTTAACAATCGGGTAATCTGAGTGAAGACTAAAATGGGATTTCTTGGTTTCATTCTTGCAATGATTCTGTAAATTTGAAATTACTTTGAAATCAAATATTAACCAAAAAATGCAATCACAAATACTCTATACAGGCCACAGAATGCAGTGGTTGAGAACATGAGTTCTGGAGTCACATAATCTGCATATGAATGCCAACTGCACCACTTCATTTGTGACTGTGTGATGTTGGCAAGTTATTTAACCTCCTAGCCTCAGTTTCATTAGTAAAATCAGAACAGTAACAGGCTACATAAAGTTGTTAAAAAGGTTAAACACTTAACTAATTAAATACTTAAGTAATTCATATACAGAATACTGCCTGGCACATAAGTACTCAACAAATATAGATACTACTGCTAACAATAATATCTAAAAAGTGACTCTGACATGCTCAGAATACAAAAAAATGTTTAAGACTAAAACAGCCCAGCTGGGCATGGCTGAGTGGTTGAGCATCAACCTGGGATCCAGGAGATTGTGGTTTGATTCTCGGTCAGGGCACATGCCCAGGTTGTGGGCTCAATCCCCAGTTGGGGATGTGCAGGAGGCAGTCGATCAATGATGACTCCCTCGTCGTTGATGTTTCTATCTCTCTCCCTCTCCCGTTCTCTCTCTGAAATCAATAAAGATATATATTAAAAATAAGTAAGTCTAATGAGAAACAACTACAGGTCTTCTAGTTTTATGATGGTTAATTACGCCATATGTAAATGACACACACATACAGGTTGTCCAGCTCTGCTACAAATTTTTATTTTTTGTTTCAAGAGTATTCTGAAGAAAAGAAATAAAGATAAAATTAACAATATCCAGCCCAGTCAGGCATGGCTCAGCGGTTGAGCATTGACCTAGGATCCAAGAGATCACAGTTTGATTCCTGGTCAGGGTACATGCCGGGGTTGTAAACTCGATCACTGGTTGGGGGTGTGCAGGAGGCAGCCAATCAATGACAACTCTCTCCTCATTGATGTTTCTCTCTCTCTCTGAAATCAATAGATATATATATTTTAAAAATTAACAATATCCACTTTTCAGAAACCAGAAAATTAGGAGGAAATAAAAATAAACACAGAAACTAACAAAGGAAAAAACAAAAGGAATCTGGAATAAAACCAAGAGTCAGTTCTATTTTTCCTAAAGTCAAAATATTCTTCCCCCTTAGGTCTCATGAAAATGAGTAATTTTTTAGAAATATAAACCCGCAACTACATATGGGGAGTCAAAAATTTCAAAAAATTTCTGAACAGAGAAAGCAGATGGAGGAACCAGTAACTGACGCTGATGCCGAAAATGCTGCAGCTTCCTGTGCTCACAAGCAGGAGGCCAGTTTGTCCTGCTGCCTCAGAAAAATTGCAGGAGAAAAGAGAGAGAGTGGGAATGGAGCTGCCAAGGAGGAATTAACAATGTCTGTATTTAGAACACACAATTCCCCACCTTTGAGCTCAAAACGCTCATAGTCAGGGTACTGCCCAGGCAGTAAAACAAAATTTTCCGCTGTGGAGAAATGACATAGCCCGGAGAAAAAGACCGCTCATATTTAATTCTATGAGCTATCTACTTAGTATTCTTTCAAAAATTCCCCTTCTCGCTGACTGGCCAGAATCCGTTTCTATTGCTTGCAACCAAAACCTCTAACCAATAACCTCTTACAACAGCAATTTGGCAATATCTTTTTTTTTTAAGTTTTACTGTGATGCAATTTATATATCATAAAGTTTACCATTTAAAGTACACAATTCAATGGTTTTAGCGTATTCACAGAATTCTGCAACCATCACTATAATTTTAGAACACTTTCATCATTCCTCAAAAACATCTTGTACTCACTTGCAGTCATTCCCCACACCCACCCTCTCTCCACCCCCATATCCTCATCCTCAGCCCAAAAACCATCACTTTACCTTTTGGTTCTCTATATATTTACCTATTCTGGATTTCATATGTATTAAGTCATACTCTATGTGGTCTTTTGTAACTGGCTTCTTTAAGTTATTAGCATAATGTTTTTAATATATCCACACTGCAGTATATATCAGAACTTCATTTCTCTTTATTGCCAAATCATATTCCACATATGAATATACCACATTTTGGTTATCCATTCTTCACTTGATAGACATGTACATTGTTTCCACCTTCTTGCTAATATGAGCAATGCTGCTATAAACATTCAGGTACAAATTGTTGTGTGAACATTTCTTTTCTCTTGGGTATCAGATGCCTAGAAATGCAATTTCTCAGTCATATGGTTGGTTAACATTTTGAGGAACTGTCAAACAATCCAGTGCTATCTTTCTTAAAAATCAAACACACACGCACACACAAAGTATACCCTATAATCCAGCAATTAGTAAAATTACTATGTCTAGTAATCTATTCTATAGAAATAAAGATTTTCAAATGGTTGTTCCTTACAGTATTGCCTATAACATCAAACAATGAGACAAGGAAGAAGACTGGTTTGAAATTGAAATAGTCTAAAGAGACAATTACTAAGTAAAACACGTAATACTGGACCGGAAAGGAAGGGGGGGATAAGTTTCTGCTTTTTTTTTTTCCTGTTAAGATCAATTGAGATAACCCGTGATAGCCATATAACTGTTCATAAAGAAGATCTTTACATAATTCACAGTGTATCTATAAAAGAATACGATGTTACTACTAAAAAGAACTTCTATTCATCTCTTAGCTTAGATATTATTTCCTCCTGATACTCAGGCTAAGAGCAGGTTAAACAACTCTCCTACAGAATCCCGTCTGCAGCCAAAACTTTTATCATCTTGTATTAAAATTGCCTGTTTACTTAAATATTAGGTGAAAAAATGTTTCCTGAAAGATACGAAAGTTAAGAGGAAGAATGGACAAACCTACCAGAGAAGAGAGGAAAAGGTGAAGGAGAGGATTTTAATAGGCAGTGGGGAAGCCATGAGCAAAAGCCAGAGGCAGAGAAGGAAAGGGAACTGAAAATATTTGGTACTGCCAGAGCTTAAAATGTGGTGGTGCTGCTGGGGGCAGGATGAAGTGGTAAGAAATGAAACTGGAGAAGTGGAAGCCGGCTCATGAAAGGACTCAAGAGGTCTAGACATTGACCCCATGTTGTTACTGGAGAGTCACTAACATGTGAGAAACAGTGCTCTGAGCACAGTGTGGAGATGGATTGGAGGAAAAAAAGGATGAGGGGGCAAACAGGTACAAGGCTGTGCTGAGGGATGAGGAAGAGACTTAGAAAGGAGAACGTGAATCATGTACAGAGATATTAGGAAGCAGAATTCACTGGATTTGGTGACTGGGTCTGAGGCGCAGCTGAGAGGAAGCAGTCACGATTAAAGCTCAGCTTAAGAACAAAAATGATAAACAGGAGGTGACCTAAGTGACCTAAGGGGCAGTCATGATGCTAACTTATTTATCAACATGTTGGAGAAAGCCTGGCAAATAGATTTTAAAAATAAGCAAAAAAGGCCCTCACTGGTTTGGCTCAGTAGTTAGAGCACTGGCCCAAGGACTGAAGGGTCCCTGGTTCAATTCTGGCCAAGGGCACGTACCTCAGGGCGCGTGCAGGAGGCAACCAATCAATGTGTCTCTCTCACGCTGATGTTTCTCTCTCTCTTCCACTCTCTCTGAAAAAAACAATGGGAAAAATATCCTTGGGTGAGGATTAAAAATAAATAAATATAAGAAAAAAAGAGAAAAGGCAGATTGTCAAAAGGACTGACTTTTTTCTTTTATTTTTCCATATTTAATCCATAATTATGGAGTAACTACAGTAGCCTTATATTGCACTCAATAAAACTTGAGCATCTGGCTCCAAAAAGGAGAGCCAACATACACTGAATGAATGAGCAAGTACACCCTGGAGTGAGCATAAGACAGAGAGCCATGACTTGCAGTGGGAATAAGATGAGAAACTACAGTCTCGGTCATATTCTTTTTTCAAGTGTCTTTCCAAGTGAGTCTAAATAGAAGACTTAATGATAATACAACTTTTGAACAATGTGAAACAACCAAAACGAACTACTTCATTTGGTACTCAAGTGAAGAAACCCTGATCTGAGGAATGCCAGTTTCTCCTACAAGACAGGAATGACTTAAGTAAGGAACCACATCTTACTCTTCGAGATCCTTAATTTTTTTTAAACTTTCCATTATTCTTCAAAAAAGGATGCTTTACAAGAAAGTGAATGTTTCTCTCCTTAAAACTTTCTGCTCTTCACCTTAATACATATAGACTACAGATTTTAAAGTAATGTTTCCAATTAAATGTCATTTCCTTGGTTAAGGTACAAAGGAACCAAGATTCTGGCTATACTTCGAGTTTTACAAAGCCATCCTAAATGGTTATGCTGAGCAGGATAAAAAGTTAGCAACTAAAGTGACTAGATTTTCCCATACAATTTCCACTGTGATTTCTAAGTTAAAAAGAAAAAAAGAACTGGTTCAATACTTCTAATAGCAACCTTAAGCCATCTAAATCATCAGAAAGTGGGAGTGCTAGAGTTTATTTCCTACAGCACTGAGCAAGTCCTACACTGTACGCAATCAATACTTGTTAAATGAGTGTATCTGCTATTACCAGTTAAATAAAAAGTCTAGATGATACTGCTTTTATCAAGATTTACCCGTTATAAAACTTTGAAAATACAAATGAATTACTTAACAAAACTTACCTGCTACTGTGAGCTTCGCTGTTCTGCTGACAATAGTTCCAAGACTCTCAACAGTGGCCACACATTGATAATAACCTTCATCAGGTTTATTGTGTTTGGAATGTACCACATTGCTGATAAATAAAGACCCATCTGAGAGAAGCTGGCGTCGATCATCTGATACTAAATTTAAAAATGTTCCATCTTTTTTCCATTCAATTTTTGGAGAAGGCTCAGAATATGCTGAACAGTTCAATACAACAGAAGAGCCTCTAATTGATAGTGTATCCATTGGCTCCACCAGAAAATAAAATGGAGTGAATGTTCGAATGCTGGATCCTACAAAAATAATAAAGAAAAAGGAAAAGTTACCCAAAACTTTCTTCTACTATTTCTGTAAGAAAATATAATGTGTCCAAAAATTAATTACAGTTATGTTTTCTGGGTATGATACTTAAATACAGTCATTTCACTATGAATATCTAATAAATAAAATTTATTCTTTACCAGGAAATCAAAATTTGACCCATTCAGAAAAACAATCCAAGATAGTGGTGGAGGAGGTGGACATTACACTCAATCTCTTTCCATGTCCAAACTGAAATTACAACTAAACTTTAGAACAATCAACCGGAATAACCATCTGAAGACTAGCTGAACAAAAGTCTTATAACCAAGGATTTACAGAAGAGGCCATGTTGAGACTGGTAGGAAGGTCAGAGATGTGAAAAGGGCTGGCCATCTCAGCTGCAAAGGTGTCCCATGAGGCGTGTGTGGTCTCAACCCCATGCCGGGCTCTCCAGCTCAGAGCACCAGAACTATGAAGAAGAGCCTACATAATATCTGGCTATAAAAATCAACAGGGATTCTGTCCACCAAGGAGAGACAGGAGTCTGCTAGAAACCTAGGCATCCTCTTAAAGAACCAGGGGCACAAAATCTTGTTTGCCACCACTCACCCTGGGCTCCAGCAGAGGGAGGGCAAATCGGAGCACACTAGAGTCCTGCAAGGAGAGACTGGGTTGTGTGGCTCCAGGGAGAGAGCTAAAGGGACAGATACCAGGGTCCCTGTGCTGAGTCCTGCCCCACATCACCCACAGATGCCACCTTTCCTGAGTCTAGCACTCCCCACCATACTACATCAGCCTGAAGAAATGCACTAGTCCCACCCTTTCGACTCCTAGTCATCCTGCACTGCCAGGCCCACATCCTGCAGAAAAGTCAGTTGGATGTGGCCTGTGGTGAAGACTTTCTTGAAAGATTCTCGAGGAAGTCCAGACAGACTGGATGAGAGACTGAGTTGTGTGAGGAAGTCCAGGCAGACTGGAGGACTGAGTTGTGTGTCTCTAAAGTGAGGACATTTTTCCCTTGCACATCTAATAGACGCCATGGTTCCTATGCAAAGCCCTCCCTGCACACAGATAAATCTTGCTATGTTTGGCCTGATGAACTCTGCTGCTCTCATCCTAATGACTCCCTGAGACCCTGCCCATCACAAACGTCGGTGGGCACCCAACAGGTGGCAGCTGGCCTTGGTGTATCCCGAGACTTTTGCTGAGTGGCCTCAGACCCAGCACTAGCATGGAGGTTGAATATGTATCAATCTGGTGAACATCACTCGCTCCTACCTGGTGACACAATGAGAAACTACCTCATGCAACTCATATGCAACCACAGGCTCTTTCAGTGACTCAGCCTAACAGGCAGCCAGCAGGTGGAGGCAGATCTGAGGGTGCCTTGGGTCTTTTGGTGACCAGCCCTTGGGCTCTGAACTGATGGAAGAAAACTTTGGTGTGCAGCTTGGCCCCTCCCATGCATACTGAGGCCCAGCAGAGGCAGCCACAAACTGTAGATCACTTTATAGCTCCAAACAGGAGGCCCAGGGTTGGTCACAGACAGTGCTTGACACTGAACTGGCCCAGAGTCCCTCCCAAGAGGCCCTAGAACCAACATACCCACTGCCAGGCTTTAGACCACATCAGAGCATGGCCCAATTACATCCACAAGAGGCACAGGCAAAGATCTCAGCACATACCAGGCACTTCTGGGGCCAAATTCACTTGTGGGATCAGCCCCTGCTCAGAAGCTGATCAGGGTCAATTCCCATAGTCAAACAGCCAGCCTCAAGGAACACAGTCAAACAGCCAACAATCCCACTGACAGATGGACCAACAGAAATCAAGACTAAACTACAACAGGAGATTTCACATAACCCACACAAGGAATATTCCTGGGGCACCTTGCTTGACTGCACCACTAAGCCCCACAGGACACCTACTACATAAGGCCACCACACCAACACTGGGAGGCATAGCAGGTCTACCTAATGTAAAAAAACAAATATAGAGAAATAGCTAAAACGGGGAGACAAAAAAAACACACCACATTCCAAATGAAAACAAAAACAAGAGAAATCCCCAGAAAAATAACTAAATGAAACAGGCAAGCAATCTACCAGATACAGAGTTCAAAACAATGGTTATAAGGATGCTCTAGGAACTCAGGCAAAGAATACATGAACTCAGTGGGAACTTAAACAAAGAGATAGTAAAAATAAAAAAGGAATAGGGACCATAAAAAAGAACAAGTCCTAAAAAAAGAATATAATATCTGAAATGAAGAATACATGAGAAAAAAAATCAACAGCGGGTTAGATGACACAGACTATCAAATCAGAGATCTAGAAGACAAAGTAGCAGAAAACAACAAGGCAGAACAGCAAAAAGAAGAAAAAAGTTAAATAATTTAAATAAGGAAAGTCTAAGAGTACCAGAAGAAGAGCGAGCGAGCAAGGGATTGAGAACCTATTTGAAGAAATAATGACTGAAAACTTCCCTAACCTGGTAAAGTAAAAAGACAAGTACAGGAAGCACAGAGAGTCACAAACAAGATGAACCCAAAGAGGGCCACACCAAGACACATCAAAATTAAAATGGCAAAGATTAGCCCTGGCCAGTTTGCCTCAGTGGTTGGAGAGTCGGCCTGTGGACCAGGGAGGTCTCTGGTTTAATTCCTGGTCAGGCGGTTGTGGGTTCCCCATCCCAGTCTGGGTACATGCAGGAGGTAGCCAGTCGATGTGTCCAGTTTTGCACTGATGTTTCCTTCTCTCTCTCTTTCTCCCTACCTCATCCCTCCCTTCCACTCTTTCTAGAAATGAATGGAAAAGTAAAATAAAATGACAAAGAATAAAGACAAAGACAAAATCTTAAAAGCAGCAAGAGACAGACAGTTAATTACCAAAAAGAGGAGCTCCCACATGACTGTCAGCTGAATTCGCAACAAAAACATTTCAAACAAGAAGGGACTGGCTGGCATCAAATATTCAAAGTGATGAAAAGCAAGACCCTACAACTAAGAGTACTCTACCCAGCAAGGCTATCATTTAAAATTGAAAGAGAAATAAAGAGCTTCCCAGACAAGAAAAAAACTAAAGGAGTTCATCACCAACAAACCAGTATTACAAGAAATGTTAAAGAGACATCTTCAAGAAGGTAGAAAAGAGGGGAATACAGTTATAAAGAATGGCAATAAATACACACCTATCAATAATCACTTTAAATGCAAATGAATTAAATGCTCGAATCAAAAGACAAAGGGTAGCTGAATGGATTGAAAAACAAGACGCAGAGTCAGAGAAGGCTATGTGGAGGCAGAAGCAAGATCAGAGTGATGTGAGACAGGCTGGAGCTGCTCTTGCTGGCTTTGAAGATGCATAAAAAGGCCATAAAAAATGTAGGTGGACTCTAGAAGAGGGACAAGGCAAGAGAACTAACTCTTCCTTAGAGTTTCCAAAAGGGGAGACTGCTCTGCTGACACCGTGACCTCAGACCAGTGAGACACATGTTGGATGTCTAGCCTACAGAAAGGAGAAATTAAAGATGGCAGCAGACTGAGTGGAAGCTAGAATGACACTCTCCTGGGACCAAACTGGAATAACCACTAAAATATAGAAAAACCATCCTGAATACTCAACTGCAACTGAAGATGAGCTGGACAGCACTCTCATAACCAAGGAGGAAAAGTGGAGACTGCATAGAGACTGGTAGGAAGTGAGGAAGCATGAGTGGGCTGGCTAGGCTCCTACAGGGAGCAGCTGAAGGTCCAGAGGGATATCTCAGCTGTGGAGGGTTCCCACTGAGGACTCTAGGGCCTAAACCCCCGGCTGGACCTCCCAACCAAGAGCACCAGAACTGAGAAAGGTGCCCACATAACATCTGGCTGTGAAATGCAGCCGGCCGCATTTCTGTCTGCCAGGGAGAGAAAGCTGGAAATGTAGGCACCCTCTTAAAGAGCCAACACACAAAGTTTTGTGTGCAGCCACTCACCTTGGACTAAAGCAGAGGAAGGGTAGAGTGGACTGGAGCTGTGCGAGGAGGATCTATGATTGTGGGCTCTAGAGATAGAGCTCAGAAGGCACCACTCCAGATTCCTGTGTGGAGTCATTCCCCCATACTGCAGAGGCAGATATTTACCTTCCAAGCAGCTTTTGCCTGAGGAGGAAGCAATTACCCCACCCTACTGGAAAACCTCTTGCCCTACCCTGTGGAGTTTCGAGAGCCTGAGGCTCATTAAGAGAATCAGATTACTCAGCCTACAGAGTGCTTGGAGTCTTTGCCTGATCTGCTTCTGGATCTGGGCCTTAGAAAAGCAGACTATGGTGTGCATCTTTGTCTGGTCCAAATGCACCCACCCCCAACAGGCGGGACTTCAAACCATGGGTTGTTGATAGCTCCACAAAGGGTAATCAAGGCCAGTAACAAACATCGTCTGACACTGGCCTGCACCACAGACCACCCAAAAAAGACTGAGAGTCCTAGGAGGCCTACCTAATACATAGAAATAAACCCAAATAGGCAGTGAAATGGAGAGACAAAAAACAAGCCCCAAATGAAAACAAGGGAAGTCTCCAGAAAAAGAACTAAATGAAATGGAGATAAGCAATCTATCAGATATAGAGTAAAGAATACTGATTGTAAGGATGCTCAACAGCACGGAAAAAGATATAAAAACTATGAAAAATGACCAGTCAGAAATGAAGAATGAAATAGCAGAAATAAGGAATATGTTGGGGGGAATAAAGAGCAGATCAGAGGAACGTGAGGATTGAATGAGCAAATCAGAGAAGACAGGGTAGAAATCAGAGATCCAAAAAGAAAATACAATTAAAAACAGGACAGATTAAGGAAGTGGTGGGACAACATGAAATGTAACAATATCTGCATCATGGGAGTGCCAGAAGAGGTCAAAAGTAAGCAAGGGTTACCGACCTGTTTGAAATAATAATGTCAGAAAACTTCCCTAACCTGGTCAAGGAAAAAGTCACACAAGTTCAGGAGGCAC